TTAAGAGCCAGTTCCAGCTCAATGTAGCATATTTTCGTTTCAATGAATGTACCTGATTTACTTGCGTTTAAGATGTGATTTTGGGTAAGAGCTTTTTGTTTGCTTTGCCGAAACGTCGCGGAGAATTTATCGTTTAGTGCTTGGTTGGACCAGTATTGGCCAATTCGTTTGCAATTACAGTTTTGTCTGTTATTGCAGGTTGATTTGGTTTTTTGGTGTTAAGACAATGGATTGCGGGGTTACGTTTGACACCGCAGAAGGTGCCCCCCTTTTACATATTTCCCCTTTTACATATTTTCAATTCTCGCCTAAACATAGCCTGTGCTTTTTTGATTTCTATTATGTTTTCATTTGAAATGTTTCGTTTTAATTTGTTCCACATTTGGTTCCTTTTTTGTTTAAGTTCTTGTAAAGTTGTGTTCCACCAAGGTACTGAGTGTTTCCTATTCTTGAGTATTTGGGGAATTGATACATTGGCGCTTTGCAGGATAATTTTTTGAATATTGGCAGCTTCTTTGTTAAAATTTTTGCTAAAGGGTCTTGCATCACTTAGGCGTTCTGCCAGAAGTTTAAATTGTTGCCAATTTGCTTTGCTTAGATTGAAGTTGGGCTTAATTATGCTACTTTCGGTTGGTTGGGTAGGAAAAAGTGCTATTAGGATAGGGAAGTGGTCGCTTCCAAAGAGGTTTGATTCTATTTTCCAATCGTGTTGGAGTGCGAGAATTGGGGAAGAAATAGAAAGTTCAATATGTGTGAAAGTGTGGTGTGTGGAGTAGTGAGTGGGTGAACCGTCGTTGAGAAGTGTGAGCATAGATTTGATTAAAAATTTAGAAATAGTATTTCGTCTATAGTTACTCTTATTCGAGCCCCAACTGGTATGCCAGCTATTGAAATCTCCTGTGATAAGTATTGGTATCCTAGAGGGTGGAAATATATCATTTAGGTTTTTACTGGTGAAAGGTGTGTTTGGTGAAATATAAATTGAGCTAATTGTGAATTTGATTTTAGACTGAATGGTTTCATTGACAATGTCGAAATTGTTTGGGCTATTGTTTAAACGTTGATGTTGCAGAGAGTTATGGATTAGTATGGCAGAACCGTCAAATGAGTTATGAGGGTGGGGGGAGGTGTATAGTTGGTAATTAATTGGTATAGGTACCTTTTGGTTTTTACATATATGTGTTTCCTGAAGAGAGATAACTTTGGGTTGGTACTTTTTTAAGAGAAGTTGTAGGTCTATGTAGTTATTTATATACCCGTTAATGTTCCATTGTAATACTGTAAGAGACATGATATTTTGTTAAGAGTGAGTTAATATTATGTGTGGAGTAAGAGCCCGAACACAATGAAAACGACGAGCTACGGACCACAGCTGTCAAATTATTTTTCCACGTATTCTTATGTAGATAATTATTTTGGCGACGACAGGGCTACGCGACAAATAGATAAAATTGTAGCTGTAGCCGTATTAGATCTAATTCTATTTTGACAAGTCACAAAGGCTGTCTTCTTCTTCTTTTGTCATTGTGCTTTTTCTATTTTCGTTTACATTTCGCGCGTGCTTATTGAATATTCGCCTTGATTTTATAAATAATTGGATAATTAAAATGGATTTCGACGAATTATTAATTGAGGAAGTTCGGAAGCGTCCAATTATTTATAATTTGGAGTTGGAGGATTATAAGAATATAAAAAAGAAGGAAGCTGCATGGAGGGAGGTAGCAATTAGTGCACAATTAGACGGTAAGTGAATATAATATATGTATTCCAAAATGATTTATATTATGTACATAAGTGTAAATATTTATACGTTGTAGAGGTACAGTGCAAGAAGCGATGGAAGGGACTGCGCGATTGCTACAAACGCTGCAAAAGGGCAGAGCAGGTTGCGTCGGGAAGCGGTGCTACATCTCCAAAAACTAAATGGCGGCACAAAGAAGCTATGTCATTTTTAGAGGGTGTTAAGAGCACAAGAACGTAAGTACATATATAATTCATGCAAGGCGATTTAGACTAGTTTAATAGTGTATATTTTGTAATTAAAAAGAACGATTGGAAGCTTGCCCAAGGACTTCGAAGAATGTAACACATCCACATACACAGATGTGGACGAAGAGAGCACCGCAATCTCTGAAACCCCATCGTCCAGTTCACGGAGAAGAAAGGTATGTATATTTATATTATTCAGTTGGTTGCTTACATGATCGTTTAATTGTAAACTGTTTGGTTGCACAAGTACGTTGTGGACTTGATGCTACTTACCTTCACTAATTGAATGTTGTGCTAGCGTACATTTTTCCCATTATTTTCAGTAGTGCAGTAGCACGTTAAATAAACAAGTTCACTACTCACTTGTTCAATCAAACAGTTGAAAGTTTCACTATTCCATAAAAAAGCTAGAAGGACTTAAAGTTTAGTGAACAACGGATATACTAATTTAATGATAATACACTATTCAATAGGAAGACGATAAAAACAAGTTCCATGAGTTTCTTGAATTAGCGGCGTCAAATATATCCCATGTTTGCTCTGAGTTCAGTTCAGAGAGGCAGGAGCAAGACAGCACTGCTCTACACTTTTTAAGTTTATCGAAAAAATTAAGGAAGCTGGTTTGCCAACAAATATTGTAAACCGGATTGAAGCCAGAGTGTCGAGTCTGGTCTTTTCGGAGATCCAATCGCACTTGGAAACAATAGAAGCAGAATTCTATTACGAAGGAGAATAAAATGCAGGTATGGTAATTAATTGCTCATATTTTTCTTCTATTTATGTAGCTCTCTTCTTAATTTTCCATACAGCCCATTGGATATTTGCGCAGTGAACACACATAGTTTTAGGAGTTTAATGAAATGTGCCTTATAAAATTTTAAGTTATTTATTACACAGTGTTTTATTTTACATGTATTTGCACATGGATGCAGCATGTTGTAATAAGTACATGTCACCCACGTTCTACAAAAGTGTATTAACTCCAAAATTCATGATATGGTTTACATTACACCACAACTTTTTTTTTGAGTTATGCGAGGAATGAGAAACTTGGACTTAATACACATTTGTTGAATGCATGCGATATGTGCATATGTATGAACTCATGTTTTGTACTGAAATTTGTTACTTTGTTTAATGTTAATTATTTATTTTAATTGTATAGCTCATTCCCTAAGAAGACCATATACATCCAAATTTCAAACTTGATGCAAAATTTTTTGTAAAAGTTTGAAATTTTGATGTATGTATATTAGACTGCATCACTTACCATATAAAATTGGTAACGGAATCATAATAATGAGATTTTTGATGCTGTTTTTGAATTTTTTTCAAATACTGGTTTAAGAAAAACTTGAATAACTCAGCAAAAACTTTACCAACTTAGACTTATGAGGTATCATTGGTAAGATATTTTCTCACCCATTTTATTTCTTTGTAAATAAGCTCATTCAAATTATGTGAGAGGAGGGTAAGATAAAGGAGTGCCATTTTATGTTGAATTAAGATGTGTTGGTAATTTGATAAAGAAAAAATTGGAACGAGAATGAGTGTTTTTGAAAATAAATAAAAAGGTAGAGAAAATACCTTTCCACTGATACCTCATAAGTCCATGTCGGTAAAGTTTTTGCTGAGTTATTCAAGTTTTTCTTAAACAAATCTTTGAAAAAAGTTAAAAAAAACAGCTTCAAAAATCGCATTATGATTCCGCTGAAATTTTTTTTAATATTTTTATGTAGATTTTTTAAGCTTAATCTGTTTTGTCATCTAAGACATTTTTTCCAAAAAATCCTTTAAGAAACTATTTTTTTCATAAAAAAAACTCCATTTTTAGAGGTATTTTCAAACCGGTCCAGCTCACGTAAATCTTAATATTTTTCCTAAATATTTTGTTAAAATCTTAAAATATAATACATTTTGTAACCCCCCCGAAAAAACCGAAATTTTGTTTGGTGTTGCAGTCTAATGTATATGGTTTCCTTGGAAAATGAGCTATACTTTTATAATAAATACTAAACATTAAACGAACTAAAGAAAGATGGTCAGTTTTGGCTATATTTTTTTTTTGTATTCGAGCTTTAATATTTTCTTATAAAAGTCCAGTGCATTATATAACAAGCACCATATAAATCCACACTTGCAACCTAGTACAAAAATTGTAAGAATTCAACAAATTTTACCAAAATCATCCAAAAATTTCAAACTTTTTATTCAGAATTTATAGAAAAATTTTGGGTACGCAGTTTTTTAGCCCATTAAATTGTAGTTGGTTAAAGTGTAAATTTCAAGGCGCTTTGATTTTTAATAATTTTTTTTGCTGATAGTGCTAGGCATTTTCTTCCATACAAATGTAGTTGTCGAGTATATTTTATATGGAAGAATATGCACAAGACCGCCAGCCACAATTCTAATGCTAAAAATTCTGAATAAAAAGTTTGAAATTTTTGTATGATTTTGGTAAAATTTGTTGAGTTTTATAATATATATATTTTTATATATATACATATATAGTATAGTAATTATTAAAATTAACTAAAAATAACAAGTAGTCAATACTTATTAATATGTCCGCACCCTTATCATTACACTGTACAGTACTCGGCTGGGTATTGGACCAAACCAACTTTTTTAAAGAGATTGAGTCATAAGTAAAAAAAGTTAGTTCTCCGTTTTTCGAAGTTAGCCTCCGAAATCGAGATATGGCCTTCGAAGTTCGAAATTGGACCTTTGGTAAAAAATTATTTTTAATTATTACCAAAGGTCCTCTTTCGAACTTCGAAGGCCCATATCTCAATTTCGGAGGCTAACTTCGAAAAATGGAGAAATCACTTTTTTTTACCTATGACTCAATCTCTTAAAAAAAATTGGTTTGGTCCAATACCCAGAAAAAAATTGATTTTGCCGTGCAGTGTTATAATATAAATAATATAGTCATTTCAATACCTTTATCTGGTCGATCTCAATGGTTGTAGAACAACTAATTTTTAATTTTGTAATAAATAAATATGTACTGTTGTTTTATACTATTAATTATTTTTCAGAAAATTTATTGAGGTAAATGCGTAAGTATAATTTATGATGAGTTATTATTTAAAAAGTCTTTAAGAGTGTTCCGCAAATGAAAAGCGCTGGAAGATGACCGGTTAACAAATCTTTGTTGAAAAGATTGCAACGGATTTGTTTCGCTTCTCCACCGACCATGGTACTCGCGATTGTTGTAAGTACGATCAACTAATTCTAGTTGGAAGTAATTGCGATCATTTTGAAGCATTAAAAAGTTATGAAGTACAATTATGGCCAAGACAATCTTATCCGCATTACTAGGAGAAGCACTAATACGTGTATGCAGAATTCTCCACCGGTTGGCTAAAATACCGAAAGCGTTTTCAATATGAACCCGAGCCTTAGACAACATTGTGTTGAACCTGTCCTTGTCTGGCGTTAAATTATGCCCTGGAAATGGTCGCATTAAATTTGGTCTAAGTGGGAATGCGCTGTCTCCCACGAAGTAATGTGGAAAGAGATTCATCGTGGCTGGTAAATATGCATCACCAGGAACATTTAAAGTTCCGTCTAAAATTTGTTTCCCGAAGCTGCTTCGCGCAAACACGCCTCCATCGCTTTGGCTTCCCAAAGCACCGACATCCACATACGTAAAAACATAGTTTGCATCACATGCAGCCATCAACACGATGCTAAATGTCTTTTTGTAATTATAGTACAAAGAGCCACTATTCGCAGGACGGGTTATATGTATATGTTTACCGTCAATTGCTCCCAAGCAATTAGGCATACCCGTTTTTATGTAGAACTTCTCCGCGATAGTTTTCAGTTCCGTTGTGTTTGGAGGCGATACATATATTTCATGCAATTCGCTCCAAATAGCATCACAAGTTTCGTATATTATTTTACGAACCGTTGAAATACCCAATTTAAATGTCCAAGCCAGGACATGAATGTTGCATCCTTGTGCCAAATAACTGAAAATACCAAATGTATAAATGTATGTAAAATGAAAATCGACATACACACATACATATGTATTTCGTAAATACTTATTATCATGCTTACAATATTGTTACGGCCAGCCGGGTTTCTGGGTCTATCGCTTCTCTATTGGAGTATTTCTGCAACTTTTCCTTCAAAATGGATAGCAAGCAGTCGAAATTTGCAACACTCATTCTCGTCGCCTTGAAGAAGTGTTCTTCATCTCTACCTTTCAGCTGTTGAAGGCAAACCATGAAAAAACCTTCCTCCTCCCGGGTTAAATTCACAGGACGCACCCACCATCTTCTCCTGTTTTTATTAAGCTCACTGTACGCCTCATATGCGAAATGTACAATTTTAGCAATTGCAGTCGTAAATTGTATTAAACGCAAGGGATTATTCATTATTCCTGTAATCAATGATAATATATATGAAAGATTTGAAAAATATTAATGATTTATGCGTATTTACCAGATATTTATCGAAAATTAGAACGAAATTAATATAAAATTTTTCTCACGAAATCGCAGCAAATACGTTTAAAACACAAATGTCAAATAAAATATGGCGGGAGAAGTTGTAGCTAGCGCAGTAATTGTAATCAAGTAGCCGACGACGGGAGCAAAGATAATGCAGATAAAACGCTATTGTTGTGTGGTCAGTCGTCAGTCGCGTCCTAAGTGTGCAAAGCATAATTAGTAAAGAGAAAAAGATTATAATAAATGCGAGTATGATTTGCAGATTTACTTTTCCATAACGAAGCTGTCAGAGCCATCTGTTATTTCACGGCTGATGCTTTTCTCTTCCAGTGTTTGAGTTGTTGATTTTTTTTGGTTTTAGATTTAACTTTCGCTTTGAGTTGCTTTATTGTGCGGTTCGAGGTATTTTTTGGGAAAATCCTAAGTTTTGTTTCTGTTATGCGAGTAGAGTCGTAGTTTCCAAATGTTGCTTGCAGAAGGTCCACAGATGTGTTTTTTTGGCTGTAAGTTTGAGTGTTATATGAGTGCTCAGCTGTTTCAGCGATTGCTTTTGGAAGTATACTAGGGATGTTGTTATCGTCGTTAAAGTGATAGTTCTCTTGAGCACATTTAGATTGAGTGGATTGTGTAGGGGCAGTGGTCGGGCTGTTAGCCAGTGAGTACTCAGTTGAGTGGATCGAGTTATTAATTGTTTTGTTTTGTTTGGAATTTGTTGGAAGCGATGAGAGATCTTCGAGTGAACTGTAGTTTGTAGGTTGTCTAATAGCATTAGAATAAGTATTTGACTGACGATGCTGCTCTTTGTATATTGTGAACGCTGTTTTATTGTCCACTTTGCGGAGAGTTTTTATTGCTTGTATTTCTTTTTGTTTAATGAAAATTGGACAAATTTTGTTATATGGTGAATGGTCGACGGGAGATTCGTAGTTATCTTTGCAATTATCACAGGCAGGCGTGTTGTTGCATTTTTCGTTAGTATCAGGCGTGGTATGAAATATTGAGGTACAATTTGGGCACAGTTTTTGATTTCTGCAAAATTTAGTGATACGACCAAACCGATCACAGTTTTTGCAACAGAGTGGCAAAGGAATGTATGGTCGTATGTTGAGTTTTTCGTAGCCGATCGAAATAGTGTCAGGTAGCGTAAGTGTCGAAAACGTGAGAATTAGGAGGTAGATCTTATTAAAGTGTCATTGCTGTTGTTTTCTCTTTTCATAATTTTCTTCACTTCGGTAACGCGTTGTTGTTTTAGTTCGTTTAAGATTTCTTCTGGTATTCCGCGCAAATCACTGCAATAAATTACACCTTTGGTATAATTTAGGCTGGTGTGCGGGGTCACCTATACTTGTATGCTGGGAGTAAGTGATATTAGTTTTACAAGTTTGTCAGCTTGCGTAAAGTTTTTCGTTTTTATAAGAATATCGCCACTTCGCAATTTTTTGCACATTTTTCTCCACATGCACTGTCTATCACTTTTTTTTATTAGAAACGGTGAGACTTTAGTTAAGTTTTCATCGCTTTTGCTTCGCTTCATCACTAAGTATTTTGGTCCACACGAAATGATATCAAGGGTCTTATTTTTGTCCATTTGAAAACACATCGTAGGCCGGGAGTTGCCCCCGCCCACGTCAGGTGGGATTTTCATGGTTTCACAAGTTATGGTTTTTTTTTAGGAGAATTGATTTGCTAATTCTCAAGTTAAGTTGCAACCGAAGAGTAGTATGCTAAGACGTTTGTACTCATTGAGAGACATTAGCGAACTGTGCATAAATATAGTGGTGCGAGTTCATCTAAAACACTGAAAGTGTGCCTTCCGTCTATCACAGCATGCTCGATTTGGTTTCCCGTTTTTCGATCTGGAGACACCCATGTAGCTTGATGGATCTTTTTATGCTAGAACCCAGTACTACATACCAGGGTTGTTGTGAATATTGTTCCAAAATAAAAGTCCTTTCCGGATAATAAACAAACGGCTTGTCCAAATTAAACAAATTTGGTATCATATGAAAGAGGACTGAAATAACAGTGGTAATTAACAGGGAACGGATTTTATGGAAATTGCCTTTTTTCTGCTAAAGAGATATAGTATATTCGATTCGATTTCCCTGATTTCATATATACACATTTGAAGTTGCCTTTTTTTGCCTTTTTTAAGATATTTGCCTTTTTTAAGATATTTGCCTTTTTTAAGATATTTGCCTTTTCTACATTTAAAAAAGTGATTATAGCATTTACAATTTTTTTTTAAGATTAAAAAATATACACATGCCCATGCGGCTTATAGAAACACAGGGACCTCTTGCCAAATTGGTGTTGAAAAAAATTCAAAGCCGTTTTCTCAGCTAGCGTAGGCTTGAAGAAAATAAGGGGTGTGGATAAAATTGTAAAGGGCGAGGAAAACGCCCTTATTTCTGATAATATGAACGTTTCAAACGTTCGATATTTAAATTGGGCTCCACTTGTATCAACTTACGTCGAGCGCACATTTAGTACATTCAAGGCTTTTCTTCGCGAAAATCGAATGAAAATGCTGCCAGAAAACTTCAAAATGCATCTTATGGTTCAATGGTACAACTATACAGATTAAAGTTTTATGAGTTAGAAACTCGAAAGGATAAAATAGTCAAAGAATAAAAGTTCAAATTTTTCATATAATGAAACTAGTTCATAGTTCTTCTCTTTTTATTTGTAATATAAGCATTTCTAAAATAAATATATTTTTTGATTGTTCTTCGTATTTTCTGTCTTTTTTTAGTGCCTTATTTTGCTTTTTTTGCAATACCTTTTTTTGCCTTTTTCGCTATTTTGTTTTGCCTTTTTTTGCCTTTTTTGCAATACCTAGAGCCTTTTCCTGCCTTTTTCGCTATTTTATTTTGCCTTTTCCAGCCTATTTCGTTACTTTATTTTGCCTTTTTTATAGGTTTTTAGGTCCTAAAAATCCGTTCCCTGGTAATTAAGTAGCATTTTTTGTTTAAATATTTTGCAATATGTGGCTTTCCTCGTTTAGAACTTTCAGTTTTAAAGCTATTTAAGACCTCTTTCATTTGATACCATACTTGTTTAGTTTGGATAAGCGGTTTGTTTATTATCCGAAAAAGACTTTTATTTCGGAATAATATTCGCAACAACCCTGGTACATACTGCCAAGTTTCGGGCCCCGGCGAAGTCGATCAGCCCCAGTCCGTTATCGGACCTTTCTATGTGGAGGCTGAATTTTACGAGAGTGGCGCCAAAGATCCCTTCGTTGCCCACCTTGGCATTGAAATCTCCAATACATTAATTTTTATACATGTCGGGGCAGCGCTAATATGTACGCTCATAGAAGAGGTCCTTGGATGCCTCGTTCTTCTCTTCCATCGGGACGTTGGCACATATGAGCGAGATGTTGAAGAATCTCGCTTTGATGCGGATTGTGGCTAGACGTTCTCCTACTAGAGTGAACGCCGGTACTCGGCGACGGAGTCTCTCTCCCAGCACAATTCCAACAGCGAATTTGCGCTCCTTTACGTGGCAACTGAAGTAGACGTCGCAAGGCTCCACGCTTAACTTCCTCGCCCCGTCCATCGCATTTCATGGATGGCGGTGACGTCAGCCTTTATTATCCGTAGGACATCAACCAGCCGGGCAGAGGTCCCTTCCCGATTAAGGATTCGAGATGCATACCCTTAGATCACAGTCCTTCCTACGTGTGCCGTGATCGTCATCAAAAGAGGAGGTATCATCTGAGGCATGTGCTTTTTCTTCATTTTAACCTGGCGGGACCCAAACCCATCGCACGCGGGGTTTACGCCCTTCCACTTTAGCCCGCTCCCAAACTAGTGTTCGGTTGCTACCCAGAGGATCCATGGATATAAATTACCGAACGTAGTGAGCTGCGATTTGAACCGTTAGCACACGAATCTCTTCTGGCCACCCCCGGGTGAATGGCAGTCAAAATCTTTGCAGTACTGCGAAATGTACAAAACATAGTGGTCAAAGGCCTCAACTAAACCCTGATGTATCTGTTAAATTTATAGCTCTACATACCTGTATAGTAAACAAAATAAACGGACCAGACGTTATTCAGAAAAAAAAAAAGTTAAAATATTCCTCCGCAATTTTGTACGATAGAGTAACAATTTATAAGCGCTGCTTTGCAGCGAAATATCTTCTCTTAAATGATATACATATGTATGTATAAAGAGGAGGGCGTATTGAACATTTTGAGTATGCAGCTTTTTATGCTGGTATATTCATTTATGCTAAATATATAATTTTTTTTTGTTTTCTCATTAGGGTCCGTTAACTTATCTATTTTAAAGTATAGCTAAATCATTAGTTAAACTTAATTACAGAACAGTTTGTGTAATTTTTCTGTAGTTAAGTTTAACTAATGATTTAACTATAATTTAAAATAGATATATTCACACCCTCTAATATTCAATTTTTATTATAGAAATTCATGTGCGCTGTGTGTTTTCTACAATCTGCTGTAATTACTTAAGAGTAAACGTCTTGGCTGTTCACCAAACCAGTATATAGTTTTGTTCTCAGATTGGTTCTCTGATACAAAACTTTCGTGTACGCTTATAAGACACAAACCTAAAGACAAAGTAATAAACAATTGAACCATAAATTTATTTGTTAGTTTACCATTCAATCCATTTTCGCTCATTGTCGACTGCAGCCAGGTTTTTACCCTTCTTAAATGGAAGGGCTTTGAGGTTTGCGAGAATAAATTGATACAGAACCGGATGATCCACATATCCACTTTTAAAATCAATTTACTAATTATTTTTAGGGCGGCCGAAATTATCAAGTGCATGCATTTCCTGGTACTATTTTTGAATACCTAGGCAACAATTTGGAAGTTAGGGTGGGCTCGGGCCCCCTGCCCTACCTGGCTACGCACATGAAAACACATATCCTG